ACCTACGGGTACTATTAGCAGGCACCCAACAGCCAACCTGCCCGTCGACTGACTTCAATCAGATCATTCAAGACACCCCGCTCTTGCCCTGGCATCAGAATTCCTCCATCCCTGCACAAGAAAAATCCATTAGCCATTCTCAGGGATAGCAACAGTTCACTGTTCTGCGGACATTTCTTGAGCTTATCACCAGCCTTCTCAGCGTCGTATTACGAGGTGTCACTTTTGGTTACAGCAGTGCATTCATCGACAACTTGACCTCGGCTCGCTTACCAGGACATTGACAGCTCACAATTAATTAACAATCTCCGAGAGCCCATCTTCATTACTTCAGCCAATGACTGTCTCACCAGTGCCAATTCGACATCGTTGGAGTTGAGGCCCTGGAATATTTGGTACTCACTTTGCAGAGGAGTCTAATGCTCTGGCAGTTGAAAATCCAGACTCCGACCTGTCTTCCCTTTTTTCAACACCCAAGTTTGATGCGTTCAACCCAAACTGGGGTTGACATGGACGGACCAACTCCTCCTCGCTCCATCGGCCCATCATTCCACTCTTCAAACAGCCCAAGCTTAATCATGCGTGGGGACCACAACGGTATTCCGGGTGGTCCCAAAACTTACTGAAAGAAGAACTGTTTTCAAATCCCGACGGGAAATTCTCGAGCTGCTCCTCAGGGTATTAGAAAAATTGACCGCTAGAAGCATAAGAGACGAAATTAGTAGGTCACTTTATGCCCCTTAGGCTATAGTTCTTAGACTACTTATTTTTATACCCTAAGACTTAGGAGGCCATTTTTTCTGTTACCCAGTAGCTGCTCTAAAAAAAAAAAAACCCCGCACCGAGCTGCTGGGCCTCGCCCGAGAGTTTGCACTGTTATACAACATATGACAAGGATACCTTCGCCCATATTCTTTTTTCGTTCGATTAATTAATAATCGCAGACGGTTAGGCACACAGACGTTGCCAGCATCGACATACACATGGCCATCTCAAATGCAAGGGTCCCAGGCAGTTGGGCTCTAACTTCTCACTACTTCAATATTCCTCATTTACCGCCAGTTCTTTTCGAGATCGCAACGAAAAGCAATGACGACAGCGTTCATGCCTTTGTATCTAAGTTATGAATCATTAATAAAAAATCATCAGAGAAAACCAGACATGTCGGACAAGCGCTCAGGCTGGAATTTGAGACACATGTTTGATCTACCCGCGCCTAAAGGCAAAATGAATGAAAGCCAGAATCGAACCGAAGGTATGATGTGTATCTGCGCTGACTTGCTGCAAACAAAAACACACAAACACACAAAACAGCGCATTCACTTCAAAGTGCCTGGTGCCCCGAATTTCAAGCTTTCAATTGCTGTAATCCACCTTCACGGGGCCATCAATCCGGGAAACAGGAACACTCCCCCAGTGCATATCCGTCGTAGCCACCACTAGTTAACTATGGCTTGATGTGACATTCCAGCAATTGAAGTGGCCCACCGAGTTCCACGGACCAGTGCCGTGTTCAACAAGTAAGCACAATTAACTTTGCAGTGACTTGTGGTCAAGTCAATAAGGTAGATTGGCCTTCAAGCGCTCCCTTCTATTGAGCTCTTCTGTTGGCCTCTGTACCACAAGCGTTCTCCTCTACGGATGCTCCTCAGTTGTACAGCATGAGTTGCCTGCAACCTGGCGCTATGAGCCGGCTGATTTGGAGTCTGACGCATCCATCTTTCACCAAGAGAGATACCCGCTCTGTCGCTGTGCCTGTTGTGCCTGTGCCAACCTGGTGGATCGTCCCGCCCGACACTGTTTCCTTGGCTGATTGGAGCTTGGACGGGGAAATGAATCTTAGTCTAAAACAATTGTGAAGCACATTGGATACTTCGTCAATTTCTGTCAGTGGGAGTGGAGGAATCTGACAGAAACTTGGAATGTTCTGAGCTAACTCGTTGGAAAAGGATGAATAACTTCCGCGTACCGTTCCAGCGGTAACAAACTGCCACACTGCAGGGGACTGGAGTCTCACTGATCTAAAAAGACTCGATTGGTTTGGTGGACGATAAGGGGTCCGAGCCACCTACAACACGACTCGATCCTGGCAAAATGCTAAATTAATCCAATGTTGATAATCAAGGGATGCGCACTGACAAGTGACAGCCGTTGATCTACATTTGATGCCTGAGTCATTCCCAATGAATGACATCCAGCTGACCGGTTCCAATGCCTAAGACATAAATCGGTGTCAGCATTTGAGCAGATTCCCGACGGCTTGGTCCATATGACCACGTCAACGTCAATGGCATGTCGAGCAGTTCAGACGTCTTGACCGCTTTGATGTCTCACCTAGATTTCATGCGCATCTGCGTGTCTTGTAACTACAGAGTCTGGATCCGGTAAAGAGTGACATGGCTGAGAGGGGGGTTGACTGCAGCAAACGCCTATCATCATTTGTATTCGAGAACAATCCTCGCATATGTCTGCGTCTTTTACGAAACAGAGTAAGCCCAGGCCTCTCCAAGCTTAGCAGCATACCGTCGGTACGCACAGCTGTAACACAGTGCAGCAATGTTACTGGAGATGTTCTCCTGACGACTTGTTGGCAAAGACGGCGCGACCCCAACCGTCTTGGTGCCGAGTAGTGACAGAGGGAAGCGAGAAAAAAAAGGAAACCAAAAAGAAAAACTGGCAACCAAATCGAGATACTGGGTCGGGATCCGGAAAACGATATCCTGCCTGGCCATGGACCCTGGCTCGGCTATCAAATGTTTTCGGAAAGTCTGACAGGGATAAAAATCGGGGCAGGCAATAAAATACAAACCTAGATGCCTTTCATGGAATTAACTTTGGTCCCCACATGGATTGCGGTCGATAGTTTCGCGTACCGTCCTCAGGGATTCAAGCGAATGAGCTAAGAAAAACAGCAGAAATGACAGGTTTTGACAAAGAATCAAGCAGTAGTACAGAACAGACCCTTGGGTATCTTGGGCATTATTGACCAAAAACTCACTTCGGCCCCGATGCCCTGAAACGTATCGTACGGGCACACAAGACGATTGTGCTCGGAGACAGCCCCATGAATGGCAGGTTTGGTAGAGATACATGCTGGGGATCGATATACTCTCGGATGTTAGGGTCTGCTCAGACAGCTAGTGGACTCATCGACCTGTTTGCGTTTTCACTGTAGCCGAGATATACCTGGGTGACTATCCGCAATGCTACGCAACGGGCGTCGGTTCAAGAGGCCGTCTCGTCGGGCCCATTACACTGCAGCTGCAAGCTGCAACACTGTGCATCCCCGAGTCGAGGTTCAGTTTTGGCCACCTACGACCTGATGACCCAATAGCTCAGAGCCAGCAATGCAGAAGGAGGGCTTCGTCATAAGGGCCAGGTTTAGTTTAGTAGTCCATCCATAACAGGCAGGGTATCTGAGCAACCTCAACTGCGTCTCTGTGGCGAGCAGCAAAGGCGTCATGACTGGTATGCACTTGCCCGCAACCAACACAACAACATGATGCAAATCTTGATGTTTGGGCGAGTCAGTATTGCTGAATGAAGCAGATGTCTACCGGTTCAAAATCGGAGCCTTGACTATTCATCAGTGGCGTTGCGGCCCTTCCCGTCCCGCGGATCCGCTTGCCGCCACCAATTTGATCACTTAGCTCGGAATACCTGACGAACGTTTGGCTTGAGGAGTCTGAAGTCGATGCATATCAGTGCTATCTGGGGATAACCTAGTACAACCGGAACTGGCCAACTTATGCCGTAACGAGCTACAACCTCCTGCAATCTTTCTTTCCCCAAGTACGCAATATTGACTCCGCGAGTAAGGGCCGTGCCCACCGGATACCAGCCGGGCAGTCCGCGGTTTTTGTTCCGAGTAACATCCCGAGGGAGGGCATAGTCTGTCTACATTTCTCTGTTGCGACTGGTGTATTGACCATTCCGGGAACTTTGAAGCCCCAGTCTGCCCTGGGGAATAAAGACCTCTTCCCATCAAGCGTCAGGGACTTGAACCGCGAAAATTGGGCCGTTAAAATCTCAATATCACGCAGGTCCCTCATGCGACCCGTGCAGCGGATTCTTCATCCGAGTTGGAGTCTGGCAGTTGAATTGCAACGTTACACTTTCCTTGCAAAGAAGTCTTGTCCTTTCTCCATTTCAAACCCCATGATATGAGTTAACCTCGCTTCATGATGAACTTGGGAGCCCTTGCGACATGCATGTGAACACGCTTCATGTTCTGATACTGCTTGGAACCTGGCAGACTTGAGGTTGAAGTGAATCCACTGGCGTCGATACACGGAATTCACGTACTGTACGGATGCCCAGCTTTACATCTTTGTAACTGCCGTAACTACCGCAGCTAACGTATGTAGGCGAATCACCTCGCTGACAACATGATAATCCACTATTGGTCAGTGTTACGATTCTCCTCGTACCAGCCGAAGTGGAATCTTTAAACTCTAATACTGTATGTTTGTGCAGTAAGTAGTTCTTGAGAAAGCTCGAGGAAGGCCGTCTTGCTGTTCGGAGTAATTAACAAGAACTCGATTGGTGCAGGTGAGCACCGGGCTAGGAAGACCATCTAACAGCTAGGATCGAGTGAAATGAATATGTTGGTCCGTGGCATTGGAGAGAAGGGGCACCTTGCTTTCAAGGCCTTATTTTATGACGCATGAAGTTGGAACATACAACGAGGTTGTGCCCCTGACGTGCTGGATGTATGAGTAGCGGATGACGCGTAGTTAGCGAGTGAACATGAATACTGTCTTGCTAAGTGTCTGGCACTCTGAACACAGACACAGTGTGCCGGGCAAATGAGCAACAACACCCTATAGCAGGCCCATATTCCGAGGCATTAGGGTTCGCATGAAGGACGGGAGTGTCGGAAGAAGGATGAATTATATAAAATACTCTACAAGTGCCATTGGTACCTAACGCACCAGGGTTTGACATCAAGGACTAAATTTAGAATGAGAAACACACAGTGACGTACATGCTTTCTAAAATCACCATCTCTGCACACCTTTGCCTTTACCTACGCCTTCAGTTTCGAGAGTTGGGAACTCCTCATACTGAGCGACTACGCCCGGCTCATTCGAATACAAGCCCTGATCTTCCATGCTGAGCTTCAAGGCAAGTTCCAGATCATAGTCTCTGGGCTCGGCATGGCCTGAAGATCCCGCCTTGGAAACGCCCGGTGACACACTTCCTGATGCCTTGGCTTTTTTGTTGGACTTCAGCTTGTATGTCAGAGAAAACTCATAGTCACCCGAATCTACCGCCTGGGGCGATGGGCCGTTCTCGTTGACACCTTCCATCAGAGACAGTCGGATGGCCTGCTGAATTTGCTGTTCGTAGTCATCCTCGACGGGCGCTCGGCCAATATTATCTGTTGACGCAGAGGGCGGGGTTATCATATCAGTGACGCTGGGCTCAGGAGTAACAGTGTCAACAGTGGTTTCGCTGAATGTCGAGGCAGTGTCTAGACTTGTATCAGCAGCAGAGTCACTTGTCCGGCGGAGCTCCTCGAAAAGAAACGCCTCCTCGGAAACCATCTGTGCGTATCGCAAAGCCTCTTCCTCAGTCAAGTCCCCAAGTGCACCAACACCAAAGCGATTGCGCAGCCGGTTTTGTTCCCTGGCCTTTAGTTCATTATCGCGTTTGATCTCAGCTTCCTCAGCAGCAATGAATCCGGTAACCGTGCCGCCTTGGCGACGACTGACCAAACGCCCATGTACGTCAGAGTGCCTGAGCCGACGCTTACGTCCCGAGGCGTGACTGGCAGAGCTGTATGCCCAGTATCTCAAAAACGCACCGAAAGAAACAACACCGCGAAGGACAGTGGGGTCGGGATCGAGATAGATAGCGCCGACCGCGGAATAAGTTGATTCATCGAGGGTGGGATTCATTGTCATCATATGTCGGGGCACTCGACCGTTGGACCTCGCATTGAGTGTACGGACAGGATCCAATGTCGATGCTAGGGGATCCCATGCTTGAACAAGGCCGTCGTTTCCACCATGAACAACATACATAGCTGAGAGAGCCACACAGGACACTTCCGGAGACTCGGTCTGAATTTGTCGCACTGGGTTAATCCCTGTGGCCTTGCTATCCTCACGAGCATTCCAGACAAGCACAGCGCCATCGTCTGTTCCAACAGCAAACAAGCGAGAACGGCGACCTGGAATTTCGTCCTCAGTTGCGTATAGAGGATCTTCGCCAAGCGTCAAAACTGCCGTATTAGAACAGTCTATTGAGACGCTGGTAATAACAGCATGGCTTTGGCCTTTCAATGACATTGAACAACTCTCCCATTCGTGAAAATGAGATACGAAATCTGACGATGAAAGCGAAGCAGGAGAGGCAGAGCCCGACGCTTTCTCTTCTTGAACATCCAATGTTTCCGTATTCGTAGCACCAAAGAGCGATATTTGCTTTGCCATAGGGGGAGCAGGTGGAGTAGGTGCCAATATGACTGAAGATGATTGAGCATCCTGAGGCACCAGAGACCGAGTATAACGTTCAATGTGTGCAGGGCGATCTTCGGCAAGGCCACAATCAAGTACAAAGATGTTCTCGCCTGCACCATGGGCATCGTCGCTGGCAAAATCGACTTCCAGTTTACGTTGCATGTCCCATCCTTCGCAGGCTCTTCGGAAGTGCGCAGGCTTGTGACGAAGGAACTTCTCAATCTCTCGTGCTTCAGCAGCCAGCTGACGCTTACTCAAATTCATGGAGTTGGAAGGTGACCGAGGCGAATATGCACCCTTGATGGCATTCTTATCCAATTCATCTGGCCGTGCAACACGCCGAGTAGAATCCAAGAGATGCCAGCAGACTGATCGCCCAGCGAACCAAGCATTCTTGGTGGCATCCTCGCTCTTGACTTGGTTTTGTGCAGTCGGTGTCTCAGTCAGATAATAGACTTCGCCCAAAGCGTTGAGGGCGACAGCCCATATCCTCCCTGTAGACTTGCGTTTCTGGCTGTAATTATCATCAACCTTGAAAGAGATAATTGGCACACCAGGGCTGAGCACCCAGCGAGCAGTGACATCCCCAGACTGGTAATGTTGAGGACCATTATCACCTCCAATAGCATATGAGGTGACAACGCCAAGAGTAGAACCAGTCAGCATGCCAACCATCGACTGTGTGTTGGTAGGCACATTTGCTGACTTGGCCAACCACACACTACAAATAGCCTCAGACATTTCCGGGATCTTGGGGATATCGGGATATGTATCAACAACACCAGAAACCCCTCCAAGGTATCGCCCACGGTTTTCGCCGATAGGACGGTAGTATGGACGACCTCCTGGGAATCCTTCACCTGCAAGTACGCCGTATGGTTGACTAACATCGAGAACGTTGGGAGTGGCCGCGGGACCCTCTCCCAGGCCGAAGGGCACAAGGTTGGGGAACACCTCATCGAGCTGCATTGCGTTGAAAGGATCAACGAAACCCCATTTCTCAACCCGTCCATTGGTAGGATCACTGATTGATGCTACACCTAGGTCGGCAGCGCCATGTATAGCCTTTGGCGGTTTCTTGCCGTTCGTAAAGACAGCATGTACATTCGTTACAGCCCATGGCAGCTTCGAGTTGTACGTCAAAACAGCACTGGTTTTCTTTCCGCTGCGAACAGATGCGCCAATACCACCTGAGGCCACGGATGCACCTGGTTTGCCGCGAGCCAGGCATCTAACCAAGCGTGTGCGAAGAAGGTATTCCTTTCTCCAGGATGCCAGTGGTGTAAGACGAGTGAAGTATCGAGACTCGGACTGGATCAAATCGTGTGAGCTATCAGACCAGATATCCACACGATTCTTGACCTCGAGTGCTTCGTGCCCAGGGAAGTATCGCAGGAAGGCCATGCGCCAGGCGTGGGAGCTGGTGATAAGGGCATAAAATCGCTTCGAAACAAGAGCGATGGCAGCATGGGAGTCGGAATGCAGATGCGAGAAGACATGTGTCAGAATCTCTGCAGGCAAAGCAAGTTAGAAAAAGTGTCAAGTTATCATTGGCGATTGCATGACGCACCATTCGGAAAATCTTCGAGTAGAACTCCGCCAGAGGGTGTTTCAAAACGTTTAATAACCTTGAAACCCAGTGCTTTCTTTGGAGTAGGCGGAGTCATTGCATTCTCATATTCAGAGATGCGCTGCCCTGGAGTAGAAGGTTGAACAGAAGAGTGATGTCTTAGACTCAATCGACGTAGCTCCTCATCGAGTAAGTCGGCATCGACGTCATGGCTCGAGTCTTGATGGAGCGCTGGTGCAGAGCCTGTGTCAGCGCCACTTGAGTCTCCTGAATAGACTCGGCGAAGGCCGCTCGGGACATGGTGAAAGGGGCCATGCTGGGAAGATGGTGTTTTAACAGGGTTGTCTCGTTGAATCAAAGGATTTGTATGCTCGAGAGACTCTTGTTGCATATAGTTGAAGGGTTGGAACTCGGGGGAGAAGGGTGTTGACCGTGCACAAGGTGTCTGCACAGTCTAGGGCGCCGGGGCGAAGAAATTTGGAAGATTGAGGGGGTCGGTTATGCGCTGTTGGGTTGTATCGCTGCGAAGGTGAGAAGGAAGTCGGAGATAAGGTGGTGATGGTTCCAAGATGGAGTTTGTCGTTTTTACCGCGAGCCGTGTCGAGTTTCCGAGATTCCACTTTGCCGATAATGAGCCGACGCGAGATGTGTTGATGATGGGCCAATAGACAATCACAATAGGGCATCGTGTTGAGGGAACTGGAAGCTGTAAGAGATTGAAATTTAATGATGACTATTTAAGTAGGCAGATAAATTTCTTTCTTATCTTTTCTCGTAATGTCAATGTTGAGTCCAATTGTGTTGTGAGTCATCAAGGTAATCACCATGATGGAGCCACTTCCACTTTGCCTCTCATACAGGCACTTACTCTATAAGCTGGATCAAGTCAAAGTTTTCAGTTAAAGAGTGGTGGCGTTTGTTAAAAACTCTTATACGGTAACTAGCAGATTAGAGAAACGGAAGATTATAGCTGGTCATCCATACAGAGACAGAGCAATTGTTTCGAGTCATGCATCACGGTACTCAAAATGTTTTGCTCATCGTGGGTCTTTTCTTGATGTTGGCTTGATTCATCATTCATCTGCAAGACTCATTAAGCAGGGATGTTAAGGGAGCGGACCGAACAGATCATGATTAACCAATCAAATACCCATATGCTGAGCTGCTGTAAGACATATATGTACATCTTCCCCACGATCCTGAATAGGAAAGACCTTGAGGAAAACCGTTGTAAAGTCGTGGATAGTAAAAAGACGTTAGGAAAAACGAGCCTTGGCTTTGGATATATAGTTGAACCTCTATAATGACAGAATATTTATCAATTGTTGGAGTAGAACATTCTTGCTTCTTCTAATTAATTTTATTGCCGCATTTCAAGTCCACCGTGCGTATATTCCGCTTACCATGCATACTCGCCTGTCTCTATCCCGTGTAGTCTAACACTTATCATACCTAATATAAATCAACAATCGCTCCCCTACGTCCCGATATGGAAAACCATCCAATTTGGCGTCATTAAAATATAATCCAAACGCCTACCGCTATGCATAATCCAGTCATTCCCATCGTTAACCCAGACCTCAGAAGAGTTGCACCACTGTCATCATCATCCTTACTATCCCCCTTGGCGTTGTTATTATTATTGGTCCCGGTAGCTGCAGGCAACATTGCAGATGCTGTCGCTTTTGCTTCTATAGTGGTAACAGTTGAAACACCAAAAGGGTATCTGACCGTTATTGTACCAATGATAATGCCGCCGGGTCCGATTGTAACAGTCTCGCCTCCAGCCTCTTTTGTGGTGTTCTTAGCACCTGGGCCAGCTGTAAAAGTCGTCTCATCAATGATCACATACGAAGGATTGACCTTGGTAATCGTCGCCCCACCGACAATTCGATTCTTTGTATCTCTCGCTTGAGCCTCAGGGCCCCCAAGAGTCATGCCATCAATAACGACACCTGCAGACCCGACTATAACAACATCATCGTCGACCGTCTCAGTGGTACTGGGGATACCCGGCCCATAAGTCAATGTCGTCGACCGGAAGACAAAGACTGATTGCCCAACTGCAGTAACCATCTCACCACCTTCTATGATCACATCTGTTTGAGGAGCACCTACCCCTTGATACTTGAGAGTTTCATCATCTACCACAATTCTATTAGGCGCAATGAAGATTTCCCGCTCATCCAACAAGGTATTTGAGCCCTGAGTAGGAATCGCTAGTCTCATAGTTGTGCCCATGAGAGGAATTTTGAGCGTGGTACCGCCAACTAAAGCGTATGTTCCCGAAATAGTGATGGGCACTCGTCCAAGGGTTGTGCTGGTAGGACTGAGAACAGAGACCGCAGTTCCAACAGGTTGTGGCTTTTTTACTGTTGCTCCTTCGCCAGCGACTTCTGTTGGACGGATCGTAAATGTACCATGATCGACAGTGACTGTTGTAGTCTGATCCATCTTGAGACTCGAGAAAGTCTTGTCATTAACGATGACTTCCTGACCCCTAGCTGTCACCACAAAGGTCTTGGTTTGTACAGCGATAGGGACAGATTCTGGTTCGGAGCCAGGAGCGGATCCGGAGCCAGGACCAGAGCTGGAATCAGAATGAAAGCCAGAATTGGACCCAGAACCAGGCCTGGAATCGGATTGCGATCCGGCATCAGGATTAGAGCCAGACCCAGGCTCAAAACCGGGCTGCGGGTGACGCTGAGGTTGGCCTTGTGGCTGGTCTCCTGACGTAGGCTTCGGCTGGGAAATAATCTTGCCGTGATCCTCAGAAGACTGTATTTGATTTGGGCGCGGTCCTTCAGTAGGCTCAGGCTTTTGCTTTTTACTCATGGGTAATCCGCCTCCCTTTGTCGGCCTGTCGAAGCGCGGAGGCGGGTCTGTGGTGAAGACGACAGCCGGATTCTTGTCCGTGGTTATAAATGTGACCGTTGACCGCATGGACGAGAAAGTTAGCCCTGGCACCTCGGGAGCAGGAACAGCTGTAGGGTTTGACCAGTCGGGGACTTTTTCTGTAGAGCAAGATTGACCTGACGGGCATTGTTTCGGAGGCTCTTTAGGGGATAATTCGGTTGAAGAGGGTGGTGATCCGCCAACATTGCCTGGCTCCTTTGATAGTGTTGGACCAACAGGTTCTGTCTCGCAAAAAATTGGAGTACTGATTGTTGGGTAGGGAGGCGTGTATTCACTGATGTTCCCGAAGAAAGTCACTGTTGACGTATACACAATTGAATATTCTGTGACTGGCTCGTCATCCTGTAAGGTCGTGCAAGGATCCAAAGACGTTGGTGCTATCACCGTCAATGTTCCAGACGTCCAAGGTCCAGGGGTATGCGTGCCGTTCCATCCTCTTGAGCTAGCAGAGGCAGAAGGTATCCAGTCGCACGGTTTTTTAAAGCCTGGGCCACAGGTTTGAGATTGGGGATTGGTAATGTTGAGTGCTGTTGGGGTTAAGGGGTGGGCGAAGCCCTGATGTGGCCTCCCGTGTATTGAAGCTTGGATTGTATCCCGTGTCTCGACCGGGAAGGTGTCTTGGTCGCGATTCTGACTGAGGGAGGAAGGCAAAGTAGTACCATTAGTCAAGGTGGTAAACCCGGAAACCACTTGTGAGAAGGACCAAGACTCGAGAAGTTGTTGTGTTGATATAACAGCTTCAGTACTCGTAGATGAATTGGCCAAGTCATGAACCAGTTGTTCAGCTGTCAATGATATCGCAGTACTAGCAGGAGGTTGTTGCTTTAACGACGAAGTTGTCGAATCGTTGTCCAGTACTGTAGCTAAGGGTAGCTTGACTGTTTCACTCCAAGAATTAGAGGTTGTCTCTAATGTGACTACCTCTAAGCTTTCGACAGGAGAAATCTGGCTTGAAAAAGACGAATTATCATTCTCTTGTAACGATGCTGTGATTTGGGGCGCTTGTGTCAATGGTGACAAGCGAGTGGTACTCCCATCTGGGGCAGTAGCAATCACAGTGTCATTACGAGGAAAGCGTCTCGGGTTCTGCTGACCAAAGTCGGCTACTAAGAATTGGAACTCTTTAGTCATTTAAACAAATACACAACAAATTCAACGCAAAAACTTACCTCGAGGCAAAACAACCCCAGCAGCAGATGGAACGAGGGTAGCGACCGAGAGCAGTGCAGTGGCTTGCACCACTCTCATGATGCCTGTATACTCTAACTGTACCGTGCCGTATCGGTACTATGGTATGGGTATTGATATCTCTTTCGCCCAGGACGTTTCATCGATTGTCTGGCCGTTTGCCATTCGAATCTAAATAATTAATGTGTAAAAAAAAACAGGTATCAACAGGCCACTAAACGAGTGATTCGGCCGTGTCTGAACCAGGCTCACATCGATTATTGACGATATTTGCACTGCAGTGACCACACTAACTGTCGTTCTTTTCAGTCAAGAAAGAAGGGAACCGGTCATCAGACAAACTGAGAGGGGCTCGGAGGTTAGTTAATGAACCAGAACCTCAATCACTCTCTAGCGTACAATGACAAGGGGCTACGCCTGCGTTGGCGCAAACGATCCAACCGGGTCCTGGCCTACTGGCCCATCTAGAGGCCAGTGTCTGTTGAAAAGTCCGGCCCTGTTTTATCTGTTTCATCCTCAGAACTGACTTTCGCCCTGTTCACTTTGGATCCAGTGGGCTTGGATGGCTGAACGTCCTCACCAGAGTGTGGCAAGACTTCGATGGATTCGCTGTATGATGCCTCGTACGTACCATTGCAGGGCCTAGAATGCTCGTGGCTGATCCTTCGTCCTTTGCGAATACTACCCTGTGCTTATTTGCACTTATTATACGTATTTCTCTATCTTCTTCATCCTGGCCTACCCAGACCGAAAAATGACACCCTAGAGCAGCCAATCTTCTCAGCCGGACCGACACATTATACACTGACCAGTTTTGGGTCCATTGACGCCTTGGCTACGCAAGGTATCTGGTGAACTAGGAGCGCGAACAGTAGTTCGTGCAAAAGTTTATTCCGAGTGCTACCGTCTCGTCGGTATCTCACCTTCCGGTTATAGCCAGTGCGACAATGTCTAAGACAGGCAGGCCAATATTCAAGCACTTGGTAACACCTGAAGCCGAGAATAATGGAACGCTCAAGATTGCTTGGTCTTCCAAACAGGATACGGTTCAATCACCTAACAGTCTTAGCAAGTGCAGAGAAGGCATAAACAATATAATTTATTGCTGCCTCTGACAAGGTTGATGGTAGTGTACTGCAATATGGGGATTACAATTCTTGAAGGCGACAAGTTACGTTATGCCTTGAAATTGCAATTTATTCAGGCCAAGTCACGCTGGATCTTGTATTTCAATCGTCTGATCTTGAGCAGATTAGATCCTTTGTGCGACGCGCATCCTGTACAAACGTGGCGCGTATACTTACTGGCTGTTGGTATTGATGAACACTCGATACTGAGTGTAAGGGTCTCACTCGCTGTGCAACAAGATGCAGCCACTGGCTGGCGGCGCTAGAGTTTATGAGTCTTTGCCAGTCCCAGTACAGTACAGTACGTATCATATACTTTTCATGTTGAGCGAATTGAAAACATGGTTCTTGCCATGGGTTAATATGCACACGCGGATTATTTCCAGAATCACAAACCCCAAATCCCCACAGTTTGTTCATGTTTGAAAATGGCAGGTATTCCTTGAACGACAGAATTGAACGGTGGCAGCATCTCAGGCTGTTATAACCATACCATCAGCTCAATGATTGACTAGGCGATTCCAACCGAAAACCTCTGGACTCACCCCTCGAGGCATTGCGGTTCAGCATGACAGCTTGGAGTCACATAGATTCCTCAAATGATAAGCTTACAAGTTGCGACCAATTCTGCAGTCTTGAGACTGGCCTAGGTGAGGAGCAAGCACATATAGGTAGTCTATGGAGTATGGATAGGCTGTGAACATTTACTAGGAACAAAGTCTAGTCTCCATGTTCCCCGCCACAGATTCGAGCCATACTAGAAAGAGCCAAAGCTATGAAACTCTACCGATTGTGGCTTGTTTTTCAACAAGGGGTCAATCATTCGAAGCGGCACATGCCAGTACTCGTCGCCCCCGGCCATCTACCAACTCTAGAAACAAAGTTCTTGTTTTTGTTTATTACTATTTCCTCTAAATTACATCACGATTGGAAACGACAGCACTGAAGCACACCTTCCAACGCTGCCTAGAAAAACAGTTGCCATAAGAGACTGTTTTACTGTCGCATGGTCTTTACTTTGACTGTATCTGTACACTGCACCCATACAATCCTGGATCAGCGCCCCGGCTTCTTGGCGTGGAGAAGGATCCGACGTTGAATGCGCCGCATTGCGGTCACCAGGACTTTGCCAGCTCAATTAGTTGTTTGTTTGAGACCAGGAATGAATTTTACCGTGAGAGTTGAATCTCGTGCTCGTCAGTTGGCTTCGAGATGTGGTCAACAATCTTCGGCTCTTCATTGCTTTTCGCGCATCTCATACAAGCCCGCGAACCAGAGCCTGTTCTGTTGCCCACCGGCGACTGGTAGGTCACTATAACTTGCTCCTACAATCAATTCTAACCAGAGGGACAGGACTGGCACCGATGGCAACTGGTCGACGATATCCTTCTATCTTGGTTCAAACTCACAGCATGTCGATGTCTTGGTGAGCACGGCACTTTCGGAATTTTGGGCTGTTGGTCCTGGAGGATGTTTACTCAGTATGTGCATACTCTTGCCCCTTTAGCACTTGTTCAGCAATCATCCATGTCAAATAAGCTCATTGTATGACAACCATGCCTTGTTCTACACACTGACCTTATGCTCAGAGGAACCCCACTGCACTGCTGCCCGGGGAGGTATCTACGATGCTGAAGACTCCAGTGATTGGACTTCATTGGGCACTTGGCAGCTCGGTCTAAGCTATCTTGGTTACGGTGGTAATGGCGACTATGGCCGTGATCTCATCAACACACAAAGTCCTCTTAGGAGCGAACCATTTACCATGAATGAAGTGCTAATAGCGAGCATCAACACGACCAGCTACTTGCATGGCCTTTTCGGCTTGGGTATTACACAGGGGAATTTCAACGGCACTGTTGCAGAATCACCTCTAACTCAAGCAGTCAGCCAATATGGATTGATTCCAAGTTACAGCTTCGGGTATACGGCCGGAGCTCACTACAGTACGCGGCCTGCTAGTGATATCTTGTTATCTTCTGACTAATTCAACTAGGAAACTTGCCTGCTTCATTAACGTTGGGAGGTGTCGTGAATGCCAGATTTCAACCGCATGACAACGTTTTCACACTCCCCCAGGATGACAATATGGAGCGCCCTTTAGTCCGTGGCATTGAAATAACTCCAGCCGAGGATCAAAATGCTCCCGATTCCTGGGAATCTGAACAACTTCTTCTTTCACAGTGGAACTCGTCTTTCTACGCCATAATTGATAGTACTACCTCTTACCTGTGGCTACCCGACGAGGTTTGCGACCAGTTTGCCCAAGCCCTCAACTTGACATATAACAGCACCTTTGACCTCTATACCATCAGCAACGACCAATATCGCGAGTACTCGAAAGACGAATCATTCGATCTTACCTTTGTCCTTTCTAGCTTTGACGATAACGACAACTTTGGCGATCCCTACGATGTATCAGGCATTGTGAATATTACTCTACCCCTACGAGCATTTGTCGGTTTGCTACAGTATCCCTTCATGCCAGACGAGATCGAGTACGGCGATCCGGCCATCCCTTACTTTATGCTGCGAAAGGCGCAAAACAGCTCGACGTACATACTGGGACGTTCGTTCTTGCAAGAGTCGTATTTGATCACGAAATATGATGAAGGCACTTTCTCAATTCACCAAGCTCTCTTTCCAGATGGACCAGTGGCAGATACTGAACTATCCGCCATAGAGCAGTCCGCTAACAGCCCGTATCCCCCACCGAAAGCACAAGATTCTGGAAAGGGACTTTCAGGTGCACAGGCTGTCGGAATTGGAGTAGGGGTGGGATTAGGAACCTTTGTTGTATGTGCAATAGCTCTCTCTACATGGCTGTATTGTCGGCGTAAACGGAAGGGTACAGCCGGAAACAACAACGGATTAGCAGAGGACCAAAGCCGATCTCCGGAAGACGCATCCCGATCAGCAAAATCTCCTTTGCTGTTATTCTTTTCAAAAATATTCGGACGAAGGCGACCAACTCAGCAAAGCCAAGGGACTGATGATGACAAGAAAAAGGTTGTCGAAGCTCCTGATACCCAGATCCATGAGATGTCAGCTCCGTTGCCACCAGCAGAACTTGAAGGAGACGATTGCATGTCGTGGAACGATGATACCGAGTTAGGGACCGACAACTCCCACAATCTGAGCGCATACGAAATAGCGAGACGGAAACTGGACAGACAACTTCAGGGTCCCGTTCCTTCATACAGCCCACCCGCGAACGAAGCAGAGATACTTCCAGAGAAAGCGATATACCAACCAAACCCGGCGAACGGCCCACCGATAGCACTGCAGTTATCGCCGTCTGCGTCCTTAAAAGCGTCTCCAGAGGGGGGATCTAACGCTAACTCAATGGCATTGCCGTCTCCTTTAACCCCACGTTTCGATCCAAGTGGCCGCCCTATCAATGCGTTGCCACCGTCAGTGGCCACTATGCCTGTATCGCCAAATACCGACGTCGTCTCATCACCAAACTCGCCGCTCTCTCCGCATTCCGACCATCACACCATCAACTCCATGACCATGGGCTCGGATAGGGACGGTCAACTATCATCGAACCCCTCTATGAACATACCACATCAGCGATTAGTACAGAGAACACCAATTGACTCATCGAGGGTGGTGCTACTGGGAGCACTGCCTCCAGATGCTCGTTTTTCTCGCAATGCTGTACCGCTAAGCACATCAGACGACGATTACCAAGCTACCAACAGCTTCTCGCATAGTAACCATACTTCCGATTCTTTGGGGAGCAACTTCACTGTGGAAGAGGAAGGGCGGAGCGAAGAAGAACCGACAAGACGTCTGGATTTAGGCACAAACGGTTCATCTATTGGGGTTGCGATAGTGAATCCACAGCAAGGTCATTCGGTAGACCAGTCTGATACTACACGCGGTTCAGAACGTATTAACCCGGGCGAGGATTTAGTCCATGTACCACAGCTGGCTGAGAGACGATACAGCTGGGAGTAACATGGGGTGTGCTGCTGAAGAAAAGGACAAAGAGGGACAAGGAAGCTTGCTTGGTAGTCAAGCGAGTAGAAACAATAGGATGACACAATAGGATGACACAATAGGATGACACAATAGCATTTTGGCAAGGCTGGTTGTTGTCTTTAGGCGTTTAGGATGGGCATCTGTTTAAACCTGCTGGGTTGACAGATAATGTCGTGGCTGTGTGCTATAACCTCTGCATAAGCGAGCGATTGAAGATTTGATGTCATTTCTATTTCTTAAGAATCGGTTGTTCTGTTTGTTTATACCGTGGCTTCACTATAAGACAGGCTCACGCCCAAATTTCCAACAGTGGCTTCTTTTTGAATTTGCCTTTGTTGTATTCCCAATCTGTGAGAGCCGATTTAGCTTTTCTACCATATCTCCTGCCACCATGTCAAATTACCCAGCATCTTCTTGCGCTCCTCTACTTCTTTGATGTCTTTTGAAAAGGGCTCAAACACGGCCTGCTTAGCAGCATCCGCCATCTTGGTTGAGCCGCCACAAACGCAAAATATCCCGTTATCAAATATTACTTCTTCGATCTTCTTTGCTTCCTCTCGCAGCCGATCTTGAACATATATTTTGTTCCGTTGGTCGCGCGAGAACGCCAAAAATACATTCAGTTGTCCCTTTGCTACTAAAGCGTCGAGCTCTTGCTGGAAGAAATAATCGGCTTCGCGGTTACGGTTTCCAAAGAAGAGATACATGGGGCCCTGTGAAGTATATATGAGGCGCTCGTGAAGAAGGGCACGGATGGGGGCAAGGCCGGTGCCTGTAGCGATGGCCACAAGAGGCCGCTGGGCGTTCTGAGCGCCATGAATTGGCGAGAGTACAGGTTTGCGGGTGACTGTGAGCGTTGAATTCATAGGGATATTGTCAAGGTAGCGAGAACAGAGGCCTTCTCTAGGCTTACGAAGGACGGTTCTGTATTTGACCAAGGCAACGAGGAGTTCGATTCGGGTCTTGTTCTCATCTGTCGGATGGTTTTGGTGAACCCCACCATTGGCGATACTGAAGTCTCGACCACGAATAAGGGGGAATATGTCAAAGAGCCGCTCTGCTGGCAGCTTGACGGATGAGAATTCTTCAAGAACTTCGAGAATAGACCGTCTGGACCTTGTGGCGTAGTCAAAATATTCGTCTAGGTATTCGGCCATGGTGAATTCAAGTAAGCGCTCCTTGTGATCGGGGTTAGTGGAGAAGTAGGACATGTTTTTGAGAAACGATCTTCGAGGGATGGCGGTGAAATCGATATTATTCAAGAGTAACTCCCTCACTGTACTCTTGGGGCTTGTAAAGAGGTTTGTGGGGAGAGATTCGCATTGGGAGAGGTCAAGAGGTTTATCAGCGACGTCCTCCCATCCCATGAGGGTGATGAGCCTTTGGACGTCATCGGGAAAGTTTTTAGGATAAATAGTAAGGCAATCGCCAGGAACACAGGTGAGCTTGACACCGTCGCGGCGAGGGATATCGAACGAGATCAGTCGAACGTCTTGCCAGTGCTTCTCCGGCGTAAGTCTGTCATTTCCCACGAGTGTTGCTATCCATCCGTCAGGGATGGGAAGTAATGAGGAAGAGGGGACATTTCCAAGTGATGAAGCGGCGTGGCCGTCAGTTTCCGTACTATTTTGAAGAGGATTCTCAAGTGACCATTTAGGAGGGAGAATAACATCATCCGGGATAGGTTCCAGGCCTGAAGATGGAGGATGATGCTCAAGGAAATGATTATGGAGTCGCTCTGTCCAACGCACAAAACTCCCATCGAGGCTGTGACTCGTTAGAAGCTAGATCTCGTCTTAAATAAAAGAACTCACCCATCTGGAAACTGCTCATCGGCTTCATAAGGATCGATGAAAGTTATAGCGCCAAGTTGGTCGAGACGCCTGTTCAACTTCCGAGCTGCCCAGTTAAATCTACTGCGTGTAAGCTTATATGAACAAAAGCAGGGACTGGTTTATCAAGACTCACTTCAAATAAGTGCTATCGCCTAAGCCAAATGTTGTATAGTTGACAGAAGCCAAACATCCCGGCGGTAGTTTCTTGCGTAGTAGTCTTTTCCAGAAGAGCAATGAATTGTGAGGCATATCTCCTTGGCCGGTGGTTGATATGACAAATATCACAAACTTAGGTTGAAGAAGGGCATTCTGAAATAGGAAATCAGTAATTAGAATATATCGTGGGAATCATATAACTTACTAGATCTACAGAGTCAAGTTCTTCCACGCGACTCTTGAAATGCAGCCTTTGACATAATCGCCCCAGCTCTTCAGCCATGTCCTGGGCATTGCCCGTCTCAGAGCCATAAAGGACAAGAACGCTCCTGTCCTGAACCGCCATGATAAGCGTCTATAATGAATATTGAAAGTGCTAATATGGGTTAGGAGTGATATGAGAATCAAGTGTAGTAAAGGTCCGGTGTCGCAGGCTGAATCATAAAAGCCTGGAGGTGGGTTGATTTGCGATTTGGTTAGCGTCGATTAGTGGATGGCCGATGGCGGGGTGAAGAATCTGCGCCTCACTTCAGTGCAAAATCTTATCAATCTGGGGATATAATTATTCAATGAATCAGCGTTTGTTGTGACAGTGCTATGGCGTTTGGTGGGACGAATCATTTAAACGTGCAATTGCACTCAAACCCCACTACAATCACTCAAGATCTCCAAGTCTTATTGATCAGAAAGTAATTGATCTATTACTACCAAAGTTATCGATGTCATTTTACAGATTAATGTTATTGAAAAGTGAAATATGCGCTGACTTTGTTCAAGATTATCAATAGATAATTATGATATCTATACTATGCTTTGCATTTTTCCTATAGTAATATCTGAACGAACAAGTCTACTGGGTAGCAGAAAAGTTGGCCTCCTAAGTCTTAGGGTACAGAAATAAGTAGTCTAAGGAATGTGGCCTAAGTAGCATAAACTGGCCTACTAATTTCGTCTCTTATGCTTCCAGCGGCCAACTTTTCTGGTACCCTGATGCAAGTCAAGTGGTTGTGATGTAGTGGTTGTGATGTTGTGAGTCGCAGGGATCAAGTCTTAAAGGAGTTCCCAAACGCATTGACAACGGGCGAGTTCTAGAAGAAGAAGCTGTGGAGCAATATTTAAGCTGGACTTGGCTTTCGGGGACTTGTGTAATCGGAATCCTTATCCTAATCCTAATCCTAGCTCGCTACAGCGCAGCATTGGATCCGAGCTACCGGGCATGGGCATGGCGGGCGTGTACCGTACAGAGTACCTATGGATGTATGCGTAAGAATAGGTAGATAGCTCAGCCTTCGCGTTTATTTATTGGTGGGAGTGGTTAATGATCGATGCTGCCCCTGGCTATTGGCTCCCGCAGCTCAAAAGGGGCTTGCAAAGGGGAGAGTTGACCTTGTCAGGGGCCATTGCCAGATGTTCGACTTTCGAATTGTCTGGGCTAGCAATCTCGGCCCTCTTGGCAACCGAGCAGTTGAAGTGTCAGTTTATGCTCCCATCATCAACCTTTGAGAGACGTGCAGTCCTGGAGTTGAGTTGAGTTTGGGTTGGCTTAATACAGTTCGGTTGTCCTGCAAAACACTCGGATGGCTTGTAGACGTAAACTATATTTCCAATTGAGACATATACTCTTCACTATTATCTGCCACCTACGAGTTTAACGTTTCAGATCAGGATGTGCTCCAACCTTGACTGTCTAGACTGTGACCGCCAACCCACTGCTGAGGAGACTTGCCAGGGACCCCTGGGCTTGTATCGAAATAGAACAATAGGTCACTCCTTATGAAGTATATTCTGTGTTGGGAAGGAAACATACCTACATAGGAACAATAGGAAATAAAACGGTCGAGATCATGATTATTGATACCTGGCTTTATAAATAAGATCAATTTACAAGTCTAATCTTACTATTTCTGATATCTCGTGAACCCCGAAGGAAGCTAGTATGTACCTGCCTAAGGCAGTCCCACTGTTCTTCACCTCATCAGTATCAATAGAAGGTCAACATGAGCGGTCAGGCCAAAAGGGAATCGTCTAAATGCAACTTTGATTCACCGTTTGTTGTTTTCTCTACAAACCCCAGAGAATTGACGCTGTTCCTGCCAATTCCACGACTTGGAGCTTTCATACTCGTGATACTATTCTGGGCAGGCCCCAACAAACGCAATCTCGAATAGGCCTCTAAACTCTCAAAGTCTGTATATCACATCCAATCTGCAGCACCACTTTAAACTACACCGATACATATGTGCTCAAGTGACGCACTTGGCCCGCCCGCACCCACACGTCAGGCCCTAATACGTACATGAACTGGCACAAATTCATGCATTGTCCAAGTCTGTAAAATCATCAAAAGGAATCCTCCTGCCTTCTCTCGACTCCTGCCAAGACTGTTCAACTGGACAACTTCAAGCCGCCACTTTCCTCATCCCAAGGTACGTACGTATGTTCTCATTGCCTAGTACCTACAGGCTCTAGAAACCGCTCCCCATCCGAAAACAGTCGTTCAGACGTGAGGTGCCGGGATCAAGGACCACTCGGCGGGAAAGAACCCACAAAACTGAAGCTTTCTCTTAAGAGCTTTTAGGTACTGGATACCTCCTATAGAGTGCACGATACCTTGACAGCCTTGCTGCAACGTGGAGTTCCTGCTACCAAGTGAATCGTGTTTCTGGTACCTTCCTTCGTGTCTTGTACCAGAGCTAAAGCCTCCCTCCGCCCATTGCGTTGCGCCTGCCGTCCTCCCCAGCCCTGGCCACTTTCCACTTTCCACAACTCCTCACCTGTCCACCCCCCTGACAACACACCCCTTCCTCCTTCCCTTCTGTGCCCCCCAAACCCAAAGGCGAGAAAAATATTTCATAATCCGCTATCTCTCTGATCACTTCTTCCTCCTTTCCCTTCTCCATCACAACATCAAACACCTGTGTCTCCGCGCAACGCCCCGTCGTCTGTCTAATCTCAACCTCGTTTCTAGGGCACGAAGCTACCCTGATCAAACTCCTCCTTATTGCACCAGAGTTCTACCTGTTCAACACGCAGTCACCGTTTTCGAACGCTCCTCCACCACAGGTCCAAGTTCGAACGTCATACTCAACCTAACCACCAAACTCATCCACCAGCCGCCATCATGTCTACCGCCAACACCAACACCAACGTGGACGCTGCCGTTAATGACGTCGCCAACACTCTGAGCAATACCTCCATCAGCAACAAGCCTGCCGATGACAAGACTGCCGCCAACGAGGCCGCTTCAGCCAGCGCTGCTGAGGGTCGCCGCCTCTATATTGGCAACCTGGCCTATGCGACAACTGAGGGGGAGTTGAAGGACTTCTTCAAGAGCTACCTTGTGTAAGTTCTATCCTCTTTTCAACCTTGTCTTTGCACCCGAACTCCGTCAATTTCATGCCTTCGTCGTCTTTACTCCAACTTGTGGAAGCCACGCTGGAGACACGTGTCTCCCAACTGTCGCAATGAGCTCCTTCCCTAGACTTCACGAAGACGACAGGCCATGGGCAGGAACGCGCAAAGCCACTTCCCAATGATCATGTCTTACTCTGACATCAGAATGGGGAATGCCCGCCTTCTATTACTTGGCTCCACATTGGACATGGTGATTGTCTACACATTGAACTTCTATCATACTATGCCGTCACCCCATCATGGACGCCACCTAACATGTACTGACTGTCATTAGCGAGTCTGTCTCGATCCCTAAGAACCCTCGCACCGACCGCCCTGTCGGCTACGCCTTCGTCGACCTTTCCACTCCCACTGAGGCCGAGCGTGCCATTGAGGAGCTCTCTGGAAAGGAGATCCTTGAGCGCAAGGTCTCCGTCCAGCTCGCTCGCAAGCCTGAGCCCGCTGGTGAGAAGTCAGAGGGTGCTAACGGTGATGGCTCTGGTGCTGAGGGCTCTCGTCGCCGAGCTTCTGGACGTGGCCGCGGACGTGGACGTGGCCGTGGAGGCCGCACTGCCCGCGCTGGTCGTGTGAGTCATACCTGAGTGTCATGATTTCTGAAACGCTTACTGACAATGCTACAGGAGGGTGCCGAGAAGAAGGAGGGCGAAACTACTGAGGCTGTTGCTGCCACTGATGATGCTGCTACCGCAGCCGCTGCACCTGCCACCACTGAGGTTCAACCTTTGTCCGATATCACAAACAAGATCAACACTGACGCAAACGCAAAGACCTCTAAGACCCAACCTCGCCCTCAGCGTGAGCGCCGTGAGCGCGGCCCTCCTGCTGACGGAATTCCTTCCAAGACCAAGGTCATGGTTGCCAACCTGCCTTACGATCTGACCGAGGACAAGGTCAGTAACACAAAAACTTTGCATTCGTATGCCGTGTACTAACTCTTTAGCAGCTCATTGAGCTTTTCAAGGCTTATGAGCCCTCTTCTGCCAAGATTGCTCTCCGACCTATTCCCCGATTCATGATCAAGAAGCTTCAGGCTCGTGGTGAGGCCCGCAAGGGTCGTGGCTTCGGTTTCGTCACTCTGGCTTCTGAGGAGCTTCAGCAGAAGGCTGTTACTGAGATGAACGGAAAGGAGATTGAGGGCCGTGAGATCGCCGTTAAGGTTGCTATTGACAGCCCTGATAAGACCGACGAGGAGCAGCACGAGGGTGATGCTACCAACGGTCAGAAGGAGAACATCCCCGCCACTGAGGCTGCCCCTGCGGCTGCTCCTGCTACCGGCGCCGTGGCTGCTGCCCCTGCCACTACTGCTGCGGCTCCCGCTGCGGCTCCCGCTGCCACCAAGGCTGCTGAGGCCACCCCTGCCTCTACCACTCCCGCCACTACTACTGCCTAAGTTAAGGCACGGCGCGAGTTTCACGGACATGAACCTCGTATTATGTCATGATGATTACTCTAACGATTTGGGCATGCGATTTCAACGATTTCTCTTACGGTAGATTCTCGCTACAACGATGAAAAGAAAGAATGAGGTTTTTTTCACCTTACCTGAGTTTTTTTGGGGGACGTAGGCAAGAGCAGATCGAACTCTGATGAATCTCGGGATAGGGTCTACTTTGTCAACCTTTACTTTTCACATCAAAACACTAATATTTCCATGATCGGGACACAAAAACATTCACGGGCCCTCTGTTATTTTGTATTTGTATCACCTTTTCTCTAACACTACTGCTGGGATGTACACTAGTTTGTACCGACGCGGGTGGAAGGGGAGAAAAGTTTAGCGCTATCATAAATGGGCATTCGATGAAGTTATGAACTGATATACGTGACTGATGATTGAACATGAACCTCGGTGGTTGCGAGTTGCTAAAATGGTCATGGTTCGTGATACTGCACGCTTGATAGCCCGATAGAGTTGTGGGGTCTAGTGTAACATGGTTCGTCGATTTGGTATCAGTTATGGCCAGCATACCTTGACTTGGTTGACTTGATGGAGAGTTAAAATGCGTTGTTAGGTCGCATTAGGACCTTGTTTTCTAAACTAAACTTAAGAAGACAAGATACACAGTCCAGGGTGAACTCCTCACAAAAAAGATAATCAACATTGAATTTGATTATCATCACTCACGTGGTTAGCAGTGGTCATCCATATACTTACTGGGTCTAGAACATCGTAGTTTACCTATCTGTGTTATTATTGCTTTTCATGTATGGTCAGAAGTGCCCCGCCAACGCAGCCCCTTAACGAGAAACCCACAGTATGGCATGCTTGAACACGGACGCGGGAGGAATTAATTAGGCCCATGCTCCAATAACGTGAGCTCTGGGCGCTGGGCGCTGAGTGGTGTAGATAATGTAGGGGCATGGGCTTGGGCCGGCCACTAACTTAGTGCACTGAGACGTCTCCCTCCCATATCCATTCATCCATCCATCTACAGTTGAATTTGTTTTCGAAGTTTCAACTGGACATCAACACATCGTGACAATTGATTATTTCTACCCGCGCACATATACACTCAAGAGTAGAATCATTAGTTGACACAATCATTCAACCTTTGCGATGGCTTCCAAGGGTATGTGGGAGGTTGATCCCGAGACGCGGTCAAAGGTTAGTTCTTCGTCTATCCCTTTTCCCACGACCGGATCTGTCCTCAATTGTCCAGTCGCATTGTGATGCACTCGCACATGCTGACGCTGAAACTGCGAATAGCTTGCCACTCTGCAAAAGGAATCAAAGAACAATATTTGCTGCGACTGCAATGCGCCGTCCCCGCAATGGGCGTCTCCCAAATTCGGTATCTTTATCTGCCTTTCGTGCGCTGGTGTGCATAGAGGTCTCGGTGTCCACATCTCTTTCGTCCGAAGTATCTCTATGGACGCCTTTAAATCGAGCGAAATTGAACGAATGCGACTCGGCGGTAACGAGGGATGGAGGAACTTTTTTGATGAACACGAGCAAACTAAGATGATGGGTATCACATGGGAAGACTCGACTATTGCGGAGCGTTACAGTGGTGAAGTTGGCGAGGAGTGGAAGGAGAGATTGAGCTGCAAGGTCGAGGGTCGCGAATACGTTCCTGGTGCGAAGAAGCCTGCTGCTGCGCCCCCGAAGCCAGCATCACGAACTGGGACGCCTATGAGTGGCAGCGCAAACCGTAACGAGAGCCCCGTGGCTTCAGGAGGCAAGGTCAAAGTGGACGACCAGTATTTTTCAAGACTTGGAGCTGACAACGCTTCGCGACCCGACCATCTGCCACCCAGCCAAGGAGGAAAATATGCTGGTTTTGGAAGCACACCTGCACCTAGCCAGTCAGAGAATGACCTCGGCTTTGGGGATTTCCAGAAAGATGCCGTGGCGACTTTGACCAAAGGTTTTGGATGGTTTACGTCAACGGTCTCCAAGACCGCCAAGACAGTGAACGATGGCTATATTCAGCCCACTGCTAAGCAGGTACGCCGCCTTAACTCGCAGCCCTTGTTAACTGGATTTTTCTAACATGCTACCAGCTCGCCGAGGGTGACTTTGCCAAGCAAGCCCAATTAACAGCTTCTGCCTTTGCAAAGCAAGCTCAAGCAGCAGGCAAGAACGCTCAGGACGGTTTCAGCAGATTCGTCGAAGGGCCGGATCACCAAAAGAGTCGGGATGCTCCTTTGGATGAGAGCAAGAAGAGTTTCTGGGACGAGTTCTCCAACTTGGCTGATCAGAGACAACCTGCCGAAAACTCTATCGGAACGAGTGCTATGGGCATGGGTAAGAAGAACACGGCAGCCCCTCCATCAAAGAAGCAGGACGATGCTTGGGATGATTGGTGAGCGGACGTGTGGTGTAAGATGGGAAACTAGAGTCATATGTTGTTGATGTAAGGGAGTTGTAGCATTGGAGTATAGGCGTGCTTACCAACGGAGCTAGTCTCTCCACAGCACTCGAGTTTTATGGGATCACTTCAATATTTTTACTATCTATAAGCCGGGCCAGTGAATGGTTGATGTTTCAGTACCGAGCTGGTTATTTGTGGCTGAACTCGGCATTTACGTTTAAGTTGCCGGCGATTCGACATTGATGAGGAGACCGTATTTCTATCGCTACAGCTATTTCTTTGCAAAATTGACCTATTGTAAATATCTGTTTGCGTGTTTCTGGATGGGTAGTTCACAACAATTGAAGTTATCTTTACATGTATAACACGGCAATTAGAAAAAAGGAAATAGTACGGTCGACAATAAATCCCGACATCGCTGGTTCGGCCGGCGATTTTGTCACGTGGGCCGTCGGCCGAGGTTGGAGCTGAGACCGGCCCTAGCCGGTACCGCGCCGAGCTTTGCCATGACGACTTGGCCGGCTTTTGCGAATGTCTCGCCGCTTGACAACTTGGACTTCGCATTGAACAACAGCAGCACAACATGTCAGCACTACGGATTCTTGTCCCCGTGAAGCGGGTAATCGACTATGCTGTAAGGAAACCAGAATCGCTAATCGAAAAGACACAGAACGCTGACAACCTTTGCAGGTCAAGCCCCGAGTCAACAAAACCCAAACGGGTGTCGAAAAAGCCGGTGTCAAGCACTCCATGAACCCATTCGACGAACTCTCTGTTGAAGAATCAGTGCGAATCCGAGAGAAGAAGCGCGCCCCCGGTGGTGTTGAGGATATCTGCGTCATCTCTGCAGGCCCACCCAAAGCGCAAGATGTGCTACGAACAGCCATGGCCATGGGCGCAGACCGTGGCATTCACGTTGAAATCAAGGAGGGCGAGGAGATCGAACCCTTGACAGTAGCCAAGCTTCTCCAGAAGGCCGTGGAACAACAGAAGAGCAACCTGGTGGTCCTGGGCAAGCAGAGCATCGACGATGACGCCAACCAGACGGGTCAGATGTTGGCGGGTCTGTTGGGATGGCCACAGGCTACACAGGCGAGCAAGGTCGAATTCGGCGCCAACGACGAGGTTACTGTTACAAAGGAAGTGGATGGTGGTGTCGAGACGGTGCGCGCCAAGCTGCCCATGGTTATCACTACGGATCTCCGACTCAACGAGCCTCGATATGCAAGTCTGCCCAACATTATGAAGGCCAAGAAGAAGAAGCTGGAGAAGACAAAGCTTGAGGACTTTGGATTGGATGGAGTGAACCGCCTCAAGACACTCAAGGTTGTTGGTAAGTTTATTTTTCTCGTTTATGATAGTTTAACCGTTGCTAGCGGGCTCATGCTAACTTTCGACAGAGCCTCCTGCTCGACAGGGTGGTGGCAAGGTGGAGGATGTCGGTGGCCTGGTTAGCAAGCTCAAGGAGCTTGGTGCTCTGTAAATAATAGAAAGAGTAGTAAATAGACTGAACCCTATTACAAATGTACCACATATTTCAACCCATATTAGAAGTTTCAACCGGCATAACCATAACCTAGTTGAATGGCTAAGTATTGGTCCTCAACAGAACTCTCGCAACTTTAAGTGTCTAATGACTTGTTTTCTTCAAGTTAAATACCTAAGTAGGTACCACAGTGCAACGCAGGAAGATAATTTATGCGGTCTTTCTGAGAGTTTGCCTAACTTCTACCTGTACTGAACACAGACCTCAGCCAGTGAAGGCACTTAATCTCTCAGTTCGTTTTATGACTCATGGCGGTGATATAGAATAGCTAGAAGGCTTGTTTGCATTCAATGGCTTTCTAGAGATTTGCATCATACATTATATAAGCCAATGTTGCAGAAGAGATAAATTAGTGTTAATGAGAAGCTGTTATATCAAAAGAGAAAAGTGCAAAAATCGTTGTCTCGCTCATGTAGAGGAGGTTTCGATCTAATGAATTTCACGAATGAAATTACCTTGCCTCCATTGAACCAATTGGATGCGCTGAGTGCCATAGAATAGATGATGCCCATTTTTGTATTACAAAGGTGGCTCCTGTTGCTAGTAAACTTGCTTATAGAGACAGCATGGATAAGACACATATCTTGACCTAGACTGTGGGGTTGATTACCAGCAGTACGGTAAGAGAAACTGGCATTCTCAATGCTTGAGGTCTTATCCTTATCTTACGACCAAGAGCTGAGCCAAGATCCAAGATCCGAGATTCAGGTTGAGCAAGGTTCCTTGTTTCGACAGATCCCGACTACCGAATGCCGTGTTCCTGGCAGGACTGGACAAGGGCTCCACAAAGCTCTTATCAGAACGGATCGACAGTGCTACGCTACAAATGCTTCTAGCCCGGTTTCTAGGCTTTGACCACCAGCAGTGTAAAAAATCCCCAACCAGGGCGAATCAAATGACATCTCAACATTTCTGGAGGCGTCTGGGGGCTGTGGATCTTATCTGGCTCCATTTTGACATGACATGATAAAGGGCAGGCCGATGCTTGACTCAGTCATGAGCAATTGTTGTTGATATTAAGCCTCATGGGCACGGAATACAGTACTATATTGATCGAGATACGGTTGATAAAGAAAGAATGGGTAATGCGATTAAGAAAATAATTAACACTTATATTAGCATGAGATAGGAAAAAGGAGGTGGTGATCGTGATGAAGAATTCAATGTGACGTGTAATTAGTATTGATTGGTGCTGGTCACAAAAACAAGAAAAGAAAAAAAGATCAGAGCCTCTCCCACTAAAAACGATATCGGAGGACTGAGTCTGACAGACATCTTGACCCAAGGGTCCAGTTCCTGGCAGCGGGGCACTTATGAACCTCTTGTAGTGCACTATAGCGGAGCGCTTGAGCCGCCCTACGCTGTTTTCTCGGCGGAAGAGCGGCATCGGACATCCGCCCCAGGGAAATTTACAGTGGGAAACCCACTCAGCACGAAAAAACTTGCCAATGACCAAGGCCGTGTTGTCAGTCGCGGCGGTAGGTGCGGAGCGGGATCGCACCTTGCCTTCTCTTACACTTTTCTTCTCAACCTCCCACCTCTTGACTCTTTTCTCTCTTATTCCTTCTCTTTTCTAAACAGAAAGATATCTTCGCGATAATTGGAAACTTTCCATTCAAAAAGTCTGACTCAACGCTCCTGCAACACGATTGCATCTCCTCTTATACCATTGACTTGAGCTCGTCTCCCAATCCGCCCATATGAACGGGCGCCCCTCGATCTTCACCTCGCAGGTACGTTCACTTTTTTGTGAGATGCACATTCTGTGTGTATCAACCCCGCCATCATGAAACACATTTCAGCTTGTGGCTCTCAACAGCAAGCTGTGGGAGCTACAGCTTGACATCAATCGAATCAATTCCTCCTTCACCACCGCCAAGATAATCGCAATCCTTCAATTGACTCAATACTAACTTTCCTTGCTGCAGGATTATCTCTCTGGTTCGTACCCTTGACTGGTTCTGGCTCACCGCTTGAAACCTGCTCTATCTGTCACGAGACATGGAAACTAACCTGTGCCCTGATATAGACCATCTCTGGAAGTCTCAGTGGTGCTAAAGAACCCCATCTGGCCAACCGATTATCCTCTTTTTAAACCAACCTAACAAACCAACAAACGAAAATTACAAAATGTTCTCCCGAATGGCTTCCTTCGCCAACCCCGCGGCCAAGTCCGCGTCGGCTTCAGGCCGAACCATGCTTCAGGTCCGATACCTGTCCGAGAAGGCTGTTGCTGGCAGCAAAGGCCGGGCTATGCCTTTCTCTGCTGTCCGAGCTACTGCTCCTGCTGCTCATCTCCCCGCTACTCTCACTATTCGAGTATGTTCCTCCGAAGAGCTTCCTCTCCTAGTTCTGAGCTTACGATACAATAGGATGGTCCCGTCTTCCAGGGCAAGGCTTTTGGCGCCAACGCCAACATTTCTGGTGAAGCTGTCTTCACTACCTCGCTCGTTGGATACCCTGAGTCCATGACCGACCCCTCCTACCGGGGACAGATCCTCGTCTTCACCCAGCCCCTGATTGGCAACTACGGTGTTCCTTCCGCCGCCCGCGACGAGTTCAACCTTCTCAAGTACTTCGAGTCCCCCCACGTCCAGTGCGCTGGTATCGTTGTCTCCGATGTTGCTGTCAATTACAGCCACTGGACTGCCGTCGAGAGTCTTGGCGAGTGGTGCGCCCGAGAGGGTGTTCCCGCCATCTCTGGTGTCGATACCCGTGCCATCGTTACCCATCTTCGAGAGCAAGGCTCTTCCCTGGCTAGAATCTCTATTGGTGAAGAGTACGATGCCGATGAGGATGAGGGTTTCGTCGATCCCGGCCAAATCAACCTTGTGAAGCGTGTTACCACCAAGGCTCCTTTCGTTGTTGAGTCTCCCGGTGCCTCTCTTCACGTTGCCCTCATCGACTGTGGTGTCAAGGAGAACATCCTTCGCAGCCTGGTCAGCCGAGGTGCCTCCGTCACTGTCTTCCCCTACGACTACCCCATCCACAAGGTTTCGCAGCACTTCGACGGTGTTTTCATCTCCAACGGTCCCGGTGACCCTACCCATTGCCAGGCTACCGTTCACAACCTTGCTCGCCTCATGGAGACTTCTAATATCCCCATCATGGGTATCTGTCTGGGTCACCAGCTTCTGGCTCTTGCTGTCGGTGCTCGAACCATCAAGCTCAAGTATGGTAACCGAGCCCACAACATCCCTGCTCTCGACTTGACCACTGGTCTCTGCCACATTACCAGCCAGAACCACGGTTACGCCATCGACGCCAGCACCCTCCCTAGCGACTTCAAGGAGTACTTCGTCAACTTGAACGACGGTTCCAACGAGGGTATGCTTCACAAGACCCGACCCATTTTCTCCACCCAGTTCCACCCTGAGGCCAAGGGTGGTCCCATGGACAGCTCCTACCTCTTCGACAAGTACCTCCAGAGCGTCCAGCTCGCCAAGAGCAACCAGGTCGTTTTCAAGGACAACCGACCTACCCCTCTGATGCTCGATATCATGAGCCGAGAGCGTGTTGGTGTTGAGCCTACTCCTCTTGCCGCTACTGCTTAAATGAAGAGTTTGAGATAATTTTGGCGTCTGGGATTGGTAGTTGGGTAACGTCGGTTGTGTTTTCTTAGGAGCAAGGGAAACGGTTGCTTTTTTGAAGAAGAAATGTTATGTGTAAAGTAGCATCGAATGAGAATTATTGTGATACCATCTATATGCTCCTTTAACCTGTGGCTAATGTGCATGTTTAATTAAAAGACTGCTGAGTACAAACACACAAGACTCAAAGGGCAATGCTTAATATTGCTACTCGTAGTCACGTTCAAACCCAGTCATGTAGGTATGGTATGTCAATACAGTGATTAAAATTAAAGTTGATTTACTGATATCATAATCCGTGTTTATTTCCTTGGGTCCTTGCCCACTTTCTCTTTCGAAGCTACCCTTGAAAGCACATAGCTCTAGCATACGTCTCAGACTCATATGTAGACATACCAAGATTTCTGTCCTAGTAATTCTTCGTTCATACTATCTGAGCATGATAGTGTACCTCCTTCAATCCCTCATCCGAGTATCCCCGTCATCAGATAAGGAGCCACGGCGGGGCCGGCGATCGTCTCGTGGAGGTGGCATATAGCGATCACTGCGTGGTCGGCCGCCACCGCCGCCACCACGTCGACGTCTACCCCCACGGCGCTCGCGACGTTCACGACCCGCGCCTCCTCGCTCACGATGGGGAGGACGGATACCCTCAAACACTTCCTTGCCTCGATCAACGAACGAAGTGCCGTTCTCAAACGAGTAACGGTTGATCTCGCGCCCAAAGTCACCGCCGTCTCGTTTACTTGTATAGTGGGAGCGCATGTTATCGATGCGACGGCGAGCGAGGTCTTCAGATACGGGCTGATAATATATAGCTGGCCGAGCATTGGTTCTCTTGGATGCGCCGCCAGGATTGATAGGAGGAGGCCGGGGACCAGGACCAGTACCAGGACGGACGGGACGAGGTCCTGTGGGAATGGCAGGATCGCGTAGTGCCCTGGGACCAACAGGGATAGAGTCCATGGCCATTGCTGTGCCTGCATGTGGTCTTGGGCCTGACGGAGGTCCTGCGCCTGTTGCTTCCTCAAGATGGACTTCAATTACGCCGTCAGGTCCATCGTCATAGATGACTTCCCATCGCACACCAGAGCGTGGGCCACCGCTGGCTTGTTCAGTGTCAATCCAGTCGCGAACCTTTTCAGGAGGAACGAAGTCAACCCATAGTGGCTTGCGGTTACTCTCGTTAGGCCAAACACTATCGTGAAGTGCTGTGCGAACGCGTGAAGCTGCAGTGGTAGTTTTGAAGATAGCGAAGCCGTGGGTGCGAATTTGATCGAGAAAGAATTCCGCCACAATATCAGCGTCAAGAGGATCTCGGGGGTGCGTCGCTAGCTCAACAAGGTA